TAGATAATCGAAACAGGTTCCCCAAAGGATTAAATAACCATTCAATACTTGCATCAGAATGTTCTGTTCCCTATCTTTCATTGAGATACAATGGACATACCATGAAATTCACCATTTAAAATATACAGTTCAGTGGTTTTTAGTATATTTACAAGACCGTAATTCCCATCACTAATTCCAGAACATTCCAGAATACCCACAAAGGAAACCTCATACCCTTTAAGCAGTCACTCCCTGTTTCTTTCATCCACAGACCCTGGCAACCACTAATCTACTTTTTGTATCTGTGGATTTGCTTGTTTTGGATATTTTATGTAATGGAATCACAATACAGTACCTTTTGTGTCTGGCTTCTTTCATTTAGCATCATGTTTTCAAGGTTTATCCATGGTGTAGCCTAAGTCAGCACTTCATTTCTTTTTATGAAGAAATACATTGTCTTGTATGGATATACCACATTTTCTTTGTCCATTCACCAGTTGATGAATATTTGGATAATTCCTACTTGTTGGCTACTATGAATAATGTTGCTATAAACATTACTGTAAAAGTTTTATTTGAGCATATGTTTTCAATTTTCTGGGATATATACCTATGAGTGAAATATCTGGATTATATGGTAACTGTATTTAATTTTTTTGGAAACTGCTAAACTGTTTTCCAAAGTGACTGTACCGTTTTACATTCCAGCCAGCAATGTGTGAGTTCTATTTTCCCCACATCCTCAACTGTCCTTGTTACTGGCTTTCCTTTTGATTATTGCTGTCCTAGTGGGAATGAAGCAATATCTCATTGTGGTTTTGATTTACATTTTCCTAATGACTAATATTATTGAGTAACTTTTCATGCACTTACTGGCAATTTGCAAATCTTTTTGGACAAATGTCTTTTTCTCCACGTCCTTTGCCCACTTCATAACTAAGTTGCTTTTTAATTTTGACTTAAAATTTTCCTTAAATATTGAAAACACAAGACTTTTATCAGATTTGCTAAAGTTTTCTCCCATCCTCTGGCTTGTCTTATTTTCTTGGTTTTTTTTCTTGTGTTTTTTGAAGTAAAAACTGTTTAAGTTTGATGAAGTCTAATTCATCTACTGTTCTTTTGAGTCAAGACATGTTTTCCTGATATGCCTTTATGTGTATTTGGTTGTTGTAGCCTCACCACAACCAGAGGTCTTGTCTACTCTGTCACTGCCCCTTGTAAGTCTACCAGGCAGCCTGGCTACCTGTAAACACTGGGATTTCTTGTTATCTGAGGTTCTTCTGTGTTTACTGTCATCAGCTCATCTCTACCACACAAGACACTTTGTTTTTTTTCTTTTTTCTTTTTTTTTTTGTTTTTTTTTCTGGTACCGGGAACCGAACTCATGACCTTGCGCTTGCAGGCAGGCGCTTTACCGCTGAGCTAAATCCCCAGCCCCCTACACAAGACACTTTGGACTGGCTCTAAGATGCAGTCCAAACCTTGACTTGGCTTCAAACTTTCCCCAACTTTGGCTTCTATAACAACAATCCTATTTATTCTTCTGCCTCTGCCTGCTCATTTCTGACTTCCTGGGCTCGTGATCTTGCTCAGAGTTGTCCTTACTCTCTCTGTTCTCTTCTCTCTACTTTCAAGTGTTCACCTGGACTTGCTCCTTCCACTCTCTCTTTGCTTTGATTCCTTAGTGATGGAGCACAGTAACAAGAGCGGACTTTGGGGCTAAGTAGACATGGGTTGGAGTCTGGCTTGGACATTTATAAGCTGCAGAGCCTTGCAAAAAGTAATGCGCCACTCTTTTCCTCAGTTTACTCATCTATTCAGTAACGATAGTGACCTGTATCTTTTCAAGGAATATTTGCAAAGCTTCAATGAGACACCCTGTACTCCTGATGTGAAGAGTAGTTAAAAGCAGTAGCCACTGTAGTCCTGCCATTGCTTCAAACTCAACCTCTCTAAGCCAAGCTCCCGGTTTCAAGATCTGTCTGTCTTACCTTTCCAGCTCCAGACTTCTTGCTGTGGGGTCATCTGGTGGATTAACTAAAGGTCAATTTGTAACACTCAGCAGAACTGAATTAGTGTGGTCCTGAGATTTATTGCCAACAGCATAGAAAGAGAACTGGAAGGTGTTATGGTGGACACATTGTGTCAACTTGAGAAGTTTAGAAATTTGACTAAGCAACTCAGCAGGGGGCCAGGGTCCTCACTTTGTAAGCATTCTCATCCTGTGCAAGAGGAGGGCAAGGAGAAGGTTGGAGTGCTATACCCACCCTGCGTGTGTGTGGTGGGAGAGGGGGTAGCTTGCTTACAATATAAGGGAGGAAAAGAGGCTTGCTCCCCTTGCCCTTTTGCTCTTGCTATATTTTCTGTCTTCTGTGGCCTTGAGCTGTTGCCCCTCACCATGCTACCCTGCCTTGGAGCCAGCTGATTATGGACTGAAACCTCTACAAACTGTGAGCAAAATAAATCTTTCCTCCTTAATTTTGGGTGTCAGGTATTTTGTCTCAGTCGTGAGAGAAAAGTAACTAAGACATTGGGGAAGATGGTATGCTGTTGATTCTCCTGGAGAAGCTTCCCACGCTGGTTTTCTTGATGTGAACTCAGCTGTTCTTATCATCAGATGACTTCAGGTCTTTGCTGTCATGGAAGATAGCTGTGGTTCTCTATGGAGGAGCTGTGGTTCTTACTTTGAGTATCACTTCCTGGCTCCAGTTTAGGTCTCTCAGCCTCCTCAGATCCTTCATCCTGCTGGTGCAGACTTTCTAGCTTTTATCACTGCCCTTTGGGCCTCCCCAGTGCAGATACTTGATACAGACTTGCATGAAACATTGTTGTGGGTCTAGACCTCCAGCTGCACTTTTGGAGGACATTCTCATGGGCTCTAGATCTTCTGCTGGACTCATGCAGGACACTGCTGTGGGATTCAGGCCCTCAGCTGGATTCTTTGGGTATCTAGTGCATGGACAGATCTCCTGCACTCTTTTGCATTTGACTCTTTGGGTGACTACTATAAAATAATCCTATAAATTTTGTGTCTTGTATTAAATCTTTTCTCTTGTACCCTAACTACAACAGGTCACCTCTCCCCAGGCCTTGCTTACCAATGACCCTGACATCTCATATGGACCCGACATCACCAGAGTTTGTTCATGCCAGGTTCTTGCTTTCTTTCCTCTTGTAGCATGATTCTCCTGGTCCTGCTAACTTTTCTTTCAAAATATCACACTTACTACCATTTCTTTTCACCTTCCTTGACCTGTCATAGTTCTATCCTCTTTGGACGCTAAGTAGAGGGGCAGCCCTTGCCATCGCCCTGCCTGTGTCTCCCTGATCCCTGGCCTCTGAATTTGGACTTCACAGAAGCTTAGATTCCAGCATCTTCCTGTGGTTTCTGTAGCTCTGGATCTTTTTCCTGGCAACACGGAGCTAGGCTGGATGATGTGGAGGAGGAAGAGAATTCCAGAATTTGGGGGAAGAAATGCTCAATTTTGCCATGGACTTATCAAGGAACCCAGGCAAGCTCATCTTGTTCTTTGAACTTCGATTTCCCCATTCGTGCAGTGGGGGTGAAGACCAGAACCATCTTAAGGCCCCTGTCCACCTTGGGGTAGAGTTATGTGTCACTGTGATCTCTTGTGAGAGGTTCTCTTCTTCTTTCTCTCCTACCTCCACACACGTGTCTTCTAAGATGTGTTTCTCCTTTGCCAAGTCCGACTCAGACCTCATTTCCTGTCTCTGACTCACTCTGCTTGGCTGCTTCCCTTACCTTATAGCCTAGGGTGTGTGCGTTGATGTACAGATTTATCCTGATGCTGGCGAAGATCCTACTTCTTCGTTCTCTTAGCCTTTGGTGGGAGTCTCTGCCTACAGCCTCTCCTATTCCATCCCAGCCCCATGCTGATGGCCAGTGGGCTCTCTCTCAGCCTAAATTCCAGTTGCCACTCCACTTCGAGAACCCTTCAGTGGCTCTCCAGTGTGCTATGGAAAAGTTAGTTCTGCAACCTCCTTTATAAGCTCCCAACTCTACCCCTCTGCAGCCTGGTGGGCTGAGCATCCAAGAAGGGCTAGAACCCTTTGCCTTTAGGCCCAGTGGGCTCAGGCAGTAGAATGCTACTTCGATTTCCCCATTCGTGCAGTGGGGGTGAAGAACAGAACCGTCTTAAGGCCCCTGTCCACCTTGGTGTAGTTATGTGTCACTACGATCTCTTGTGAGAGGTTCTCTTCTTCTCTCTCTCCTGCCTCCACACACTTGTCTTCTAAGATGTATTTCTACACATCTTACTCTACTCCCTTGCTCCTAAAGGGATGACCCCTCTATTCTTATGCTTGCTTTGTCTCCTCTATCTCTCCCTCACTCTTCTCGCCAGTGAAATTTTACTCACCCGCTGGGCTTCAAATCAACTGCAACTTTCTTGGAAACCTTCCTTGATCTCCTTGCTGAAAGAAAATACTGTGCTTCTGCATTTTCGCAGAGTGCTCTCCACTCAGCAGGGAAGGATCATTGGCTTTCTTCTCCATATTATTCAAAAGGCAAAGACAGTGTCTGGCTCAGTCAGGTGCATGACACACTGGCTCCCTAAGTAAACATTTGTTGGCTAAGGGATGACTTCTCTCTGGCTTCCTGGCTTTTGTCTCCTGCCCAGCTGGGCTGCTAGGAAGTCCCCTCCTCTAATCTACCCGTTGTAGATGGATCTTCCCAAAGGGTGGCTGGGCTCATTTGCTGCCAAACCACTACACATTCAGCCACATCTAAACAAGGAGCAGGAGGAAGCAAGGATTAGGGCAAGATCCTAATCATGGAGTAGAGACACCTGCTTGCATGGGGAGCTTTGGTGAAATCCCCAGCAACTGCCCACCAGAGAGGGCACAGATGATGCCCATAGACAGGGTTCCCACTTGTTGGATGGGGGAATCTGAGCATCTGTATTCTTCCAGTCCTGAGAGCTGGAGCTTGTGCTCGAGATCAGTGTCCCTCAATGCCCCTGTGTTACAGTGCAGGCGTTGAAAACAGAGAGAGGCTGCCAAGATTACCAGGCAAGTCAGGGCAGGACCCAGAGCATTGCCTCCCAGGCCTGGGAACTCCCATTGCCAGAAGGTTGAGGGGCTTTGTAAGTATTTTCATGATTTGTGGATCTTTTATGATCAGGGTTTTTCCTAGAGCTGGATTAACAAGACATTGAAACTGGTTTCTATCTTTGAAAATCCAACAGTAAAATTATTAAGGAGGAGAGCAGGGAGAAAAAGAGAGAGAGAGAGGGAGAGACAGAAAGAGACAGACAGAGAGAGACAGAGAGACAGAGAGAGAGGAGGGGGCGAGACAGCTACAGTAACAGAGCCCTTTCTTCTCCCTAGCTCCTCCCTTGCAGGGCCCATGGGATGACATGGCTTCAGGGTCTTTGTTCTAAAGACTTCTTTACTGGGGGAAGGGCGCTTTGGCTTTCCAGGCTATGCATGGGCTGCAGCAACTATGTGGGTATGAAGCCGGTCAGTCAAGTTTGTTGGGGCAGCAGAAATAGCTCAGAAGTGCCGGAACATCAGGAGCTCTGGCCCTGGCCAGAAGGGATCTGGCACTGCTTGGCTGGGGTGTTGGTAAGGTTTTTGCTTCAGAGTGTGGACCAGCTGATCCTTAAAACCCATCTAGCTTTTAATTCCTGACTGCCTGAGCCCACTGGGCCTAAAAGCAAAGGGTTCCAGCCCTTCTTGGATGCTCAGCCCATCCACTCCTTTGGGATCATGTCTGCCATCCGGGATGAAGACCGAGGGGCTATCCATCCATCCAAGGAGGCTAGCACCCATGGATCCTTCACCAAGGAAATCTCCAGCCACCGCTGTAGGCCACCAGAGCTGGAGGACACGAGATACACTTTTTTTTAAACTTCTCATTGCTCATATAGGGAGACAGAAATGCAGAAAGTCACTCTCAGGGCAGGAGCTAGAATGTGGAGTTGGCATTTGCAGGCTCCCAGCCAGGGAACCAGGGCATCATGCTGCTTGCAGAACAGTAGGGAGGGAAGTTGGGAGGAATGGGGTTTCTCAGTCAGTGGGAACAGACAAAGCCCTGCGCAAACACCCCCAGAATTGGGATGAGGGAGCACTGCTGCTCTCTTGCCTCACTTTAAATTAGGCTCCTACTGAGAGCTGCTTGAACAGCGCCCCCTCCTGGCCCTAGAGTAAACTGAGAGACAGAGGGCTGCACACTTCCCCTTCATTTGCGGGGATCCCTGTTCCTGACCTCCAGCGTCTTTGTCCCAAAGACTTGCCAGCTCCCTGGGCACCATCTTACAGGCAATTCCTCCATGACTGGGATTTTTTTTAGGGGGGACACTGGACAGTGGCTGAAGAAGGAAGCAGATATAAAGTCGGGAAGAAGGAAGGGATGTTCAAAAAGATGAAGCTCAGACATACAGATTGATCTAAGTCACAAAGTATCAAGTGGCGGAGCTAACTTTCATGGATATTCTGAAGTATTTCTGTATGTATGTATGTACTGGGCATTGAACCCAGGGACTTCACGTTGAGCTGTGCTTCAGCCCTTTTTTTTTGAGACAATATCTCACTAAGTTGCCCAGGCTGGGTTCAAACTAACAACCTTCCTGCCTCATCCTTCCTGGGATTACAGGTGTGTGCCACCGTGCCTGGCTCTGAGGTTATTTTTCTTCATTCTTTTACTTAATCATTTATACACTTCTTCATTAACTCATGTAACAAATCAACCAGCAGATCATTCATAGTGCCACATCTAGTAGTGGCAATGGGAGAGGTGTAGGTGAGTAGTATTGGTGGTGGTGGGAAGGTGATGCTGGTATTGGTGGTAGCGGGTACTTTTCTTGGTGTTGGGTGGTACAGTTTGTTGACGATTGTAATAGTACTGATGTATGTAGTAGTAGTGGGTGGTTGTTTTGGGTATTGGTTGATGACGGCGGGTTTTGTGTGTTTTTGTTGTTGCTGGGTGTTATTGATGGGTGGGGTGATTGTATTTTTGTTGATAGAAATAATGTGATAGTGCTGATGAGGATAATGGTGATGGTGTATGTCTCTGCTGGCAGGGACTTAAGAAGCTCTTTTTTGGACCCTGAAGGGGAGGTAGCCATAAAAAATAGAAATCTCTATAAAATGAATAGCTTTACATTTTTAATACATGATAATTATATAGAGCCAAGCAACATAGAAGAGTGCAAAATGGAAGATTTTAAACTAATGGAAATATCACTTCCTAGATGTAAAGACGGGAAGGAAGTCATTCCTAAAGTCAGAGATGGAGGCTGGGGAGGTTCTTGACTCAGAAGGAATGATGACATTCCCATGAGGTATCCCAGGTAGGACCTATTCCCCGTCCTGGGAGGAAGGGAGTGGGATGTGGTCAGTGAAAGCAGACCTGGGCAAGAGTGAGGTGGGTGGAGTAGAACAACTGTCCCTGCTGGCCCTTCGTCCTATGACCAGCCCGGGTGAGATCATGGCTCTGTGTCTGTCTGGGGAGTGCATCGGAGTGTGTGGATGCAGGCTGCAGCAGTCTTGTAGAGTGAGAGGCAGCTTGAGGGTGGCAGGATCAAGGTTCCTTTCTCTTGTCCCTCTAGGGCCAGTCCTCATTGGGAAGTCTGCTTATTCCTGGATCTGTGCGAGGCCAAAGAAGCATCTTTGACAATGACTGTGGGAGAGAAGACCTCTCCTTTGGGAGAAAAGACTCTCCTCCTGACAGTAAGGGATATCTGGAAGGTTTCTCTGTAAGTTAGACTATTAAAGGCCTCTTAAAGATGATTGAGCCTAGGTGATTTTTTTCTCTTTTTATTTTTCTTTTTGTCCTTTCATTTTTTGTTTCTTAAACTGTGAGATCCTTTTGTCAAGTGACCTTTTCAGCGAATGTCCATTGTAGACACCAAGAGAAAGGAGCTGGATTTGACTGAAGCAGAAGGCCTGGGCCTCTTCACCCTGGCCCTGGATGGAGTGCTGAGCCCTTCTTGCAGGGATACTGGGGGTTGAAGGGAGGATGTGTGTAGAACCTTTGAGATTCCACATTGCTGGGAGGCATATGGGGCTTCTTAGTAGCTTGGAGTTCACTCGGGCTCTGTTTGGGATATAGGGACAAGTGGCAGGGCCTGGAAGACGGCCCTAAAGGTTGCCTTGGTAGAGGTGGTCATTTGAAGTTGACCCCCAGGTACTTCCTGCTGGGCAGTTAACATCAACTCAGTAGACATTTTATATCTACCCAAGCCCCATGGCCACCCACCCAAGTACCAGCAGGGTTTATAGCACGCTTCAATTCTATAGTACCAGGATCCTCTTTTCCTTAAAAATTTAAATACTTAATTGACCAATGAAAAGTACATATTCATGGGGTGCAGTGTGATAATTTGACACATGTATACAGAGGGTAATGATCAAGTCAAGGTAATTAGCATTTCCATCTCCTTAAACACTATCATTTCTTTGTGTTAAGAAACTCCTCTCTTCTAGCTCTTTATAGAATATATAATTATGAACTATTGTCACTCTGCTGTGCTATAGGACACTAGAACTTTTTCCTCTTGTCTAACTGTACTTTGGAACCTGTTATCCAACCTCTCTCTACCCCTACCCTCTTCCCTTTCCAGCCTCTAGTGACCGCTATGTGCTCTTTACTTCTATAATGAAATAAACTATTTTTAGTTCTACATATGAGTGAGAATGTGCAGGATCTGTCCTTCTGTGCCGGCCCAGGGTCACCTTCTATAACAATAGAAGCAGCCAGTATTTACGGTGTACCTGTCTCCTGCCAGGCACTATGCTAAGGTCTTCATGCGTGTTTTCTTACTGAATGCTCCCAACAAGCCCTCCAAGTCAGTGCTTACTACTCTGCCAGATTCGTACGTGGTGCAACTGCACCTTGAGGGACGATGTTTGCCCAAGGCTGTGCAAGTCACCAAGTAGCTGAACTGGGACTTGGCACAGCCATGATTGTGTCGGAGCCCATATGTACCGTGGGGTTCCCATCCTTGGTACCTCAGGGGTCCAGCTCAGTCTGGGTACAGCTGCCCTCTGGCTCTGCTCTTCTACTTTTTTTTTTTTTTTTTTTTGGTTTTTCTCCGGTACCGGGAACCGAACTCACGACCTTGCGCTTGCCAGACAGGCGCCTTGCCACTGAGCTAGATCCCCAGCCCCTGCTCTTCTACTTTGTAGAGACTTTAAGGCCTATCGCCATTTTCACTCGGTTTCTTAGCGCCTTCTTTCTTCATTTCTTTATTAGCCCCTTGGACTTGTGCTAGCAACCTCACCAGGTCTCTGAGGCCCTGGCATTGCTACCCTGTTTCTATCTGGAATAAGGTACATTGCTCATTTGAAAACTGGCTGCTTTGAGGCCTTTTGGGAGCTCTGCAGAACTGTTCCATAGAAAATGACTCTTTTGTTTAGAGAAGCTATTTTGAGAACCTTTAGGTGAGGCACAGGGGCAGAGGTGGGGGGTGCAGGGAAGCTCTGGATAAGACAGCAAGAGAGCAGAAAGCAGGCAGGAGAGGTCACTGTCAGGTCTAGGGCCTTGGGTGTATTGCTGAGGGAATGCAACCGCTGGCGCTTAGCGCGTTGTGAAAAGTACCGCCCATCCCCCCGCCACCAGTGTGATCCTCAGCAGAGCTGATCACAAAGGATAATTTGTAGCTTCCATCCAGGAGTATGAAAGGAGTAGTTACAGACTCACCTTCACATCTTCATGCACTCGCAAAATGCAACCTAGAGGCCTTACCATGGGCTCCGAGGCCCTACGCACTCTCTCTCTCCTCTTTCTACTCTTTATTCACCATCAGGATCACAGTGCTTTGTCTATAGAAGCCCTGTTTCCGCTCAGACACGAGGCATAATCTGGCCTGCCTTTGCCACCTGCTCTGTGCCTGCTGCAAAGTCACCCACCCCACGGACATCCAAAGGCCCTGCTCCTCCATGTCCTTCAGTCTTTTCTCGAAGGTCACCTCCACAGAAAGGCCCTCCCTAATCGCCTCGCTAAAATTGCACTCTGTCTCCGCACTCTGCTTAAATTTTCTTCATGGCACTGATCATCACCTAATGTCAAAGTATAATTTCCAAAGAGTCAGAAACATGAATCTCCTACAAGCATCTAGCTGGATATGTCAGTGATTTATTCAATTCATTAGTGAGGGGATCAGCAAGATGACAGAGCTGACTCCAAGCGGTTGAGAGAAGCTGATATACGTAATCAATGAAAAAAGAGTGCTGGAGAAGATTGTAAGGCTACACACTAAATTGGTTAATGTCCTATAGGACAATAAAACTGCAACCTTTGGGGTTATCTTTTCTTCCAGACAGAAATCGTTTGCACCTCCACTGGACAAAAATCACTTGCACCTTATCAATCTTCTTTAACAGTTCACTTCTTAGAGACCGAGCCCTAATCAATAGTAAATAGTGAGTCAACAAAGTTACTCACCTGGAACAGCACTGTGCAAAGGACTTTCCCTTAGGAAGAAAACATTCTATGTCTGTACCACACAGTGTGACTGCCCCTCCTCCAAAGGCACTTCCACTTTCTTTTTTTCTCCCTCCTTCCTTCCCTCCTTTTTTCCATTCCTTTCTCCTTCCTTCCCTCCTTTTTGTGGTGCTGGGATCAAATCTAGGACCTCGTGTATGCTAGGCAAGCACTCTGTCACTGAGCCATACCCTTACCCTTGCAGTCTGGCTCTTAACATGTGTTTGGTGAGACTAAGAAACAGAATTTAATTTAAAATTGTGGAAATTAATAGGTTATATTTATTTATAAATTAATATAATATATAATTTAATATTAATGTGCAGTACAAAGAGTATAATATATATAAATTATTGTATATGTAAATATAAAGTTCAGTATGTTAAATATATTTAATTTAATTAATATAACATTAATAAATTAAATTTAAATGGCTAACAGCTACCACATTTGATGGCTTAGCCCTAAAAAGTCAGATGACAATTAGGCAGCTTGTTAGACAATGTTGTACTTGAAAGAGACTTATTTTCATGTTCTAAATGATTTTTCTTAATTTTGGCATCTTACAATATGCTTGTTTGTTTATTGTCTGTGTCCCTTCTAGAAAGCAAGCTTTATGATAGTAGGACTTGGCTTTGTGTTCCGTGGTCTCCCAGCGCTTAGAAGGGGCTCACAGCAGGTGCACAATCAATAATTGTTGAATGAATAAATAAACATAAAATGGCTGGAGTCTTACCAGAAACCAAAGCAGCCAGGGACGAGGTAAGTCTGGCTGATGAGCTTCGGCAGGAGTGATGCCTGGTGTTCAGTTGCAAGTGGTTTTCTTATTTGTAAAGTGCTCCCCTGCTGCTAACCTCAGCCCTTCCCTGAGTGCTGGATTCGGTTAATGGGTCTTTGGGAAATGGAGCTCCTTGGGGGAGGGGTGGGTGAGGAGAGTTCTGGGGAGGGCGGTGATGAAATCCTGAGGGTGAGGGGAACTGAGCTGAGTACAGACAGACAGAGCCAGGACAGACAGGGAACTCCCCAGAGGAAAGGCCATGCTTCCTGGGGATCCTCAAGCTGAAAGGGAGACCTTCAGCCCCCAACAGTTAAGGATAGGTGGATTCTAGTCAGCGGTTTCTGTGGTGTATAGTCCGGGTGGGCTAAATGCAATAATAAATGCTCTGAGATCTCTTACTTCGACAGGGTAAGTCCACAAGACTGCACTGTTCTTAGGGAACATGGTCTAGGACAGTGATGGCGAACTTTTAGAGATGTAGATAGCATGGGTACCATAGCTGTCCCACCACTAGTCTAGGGGGTGCGGCCCACTCCTCATCCATCTGGTGGGTAGAAGGTACAGTTGATGGCACCCAGTTATCACTTTCCCCTGCCCCTGGGCTATGTGGGGCCTGCATTTCATGTGGGAGTGTTTACTTGGGGAATTTACCAGGATCCAGCGCTGAGTATAGAGAAGCCAGGATCCCTGAGGCTGAATCCCCTTTCCCAGGGCCCATTTTGCCCCGTGTTCATTCCTTTCTCCTTAGCCAGCCTCAGATTCTGACATCTACAACACATGTGCTTGTGGGGCAGGGCCGTGTCTTTTGTGGGGCAGGGAGGGGCTTATTTCTGCCCAAACTCCTCTTGCTCTACATTTCTGGGCCCTGTGAAAGATATGGCCTATCCCGAGGATGGCAATGGTGCTGTGAGGGAGTGGCACAGGACTTGTCTAGAAGCCTCCTTGGATGCCATGGGTAACGGATTGTAATTTGAGTGAAAAAGACTTATCCTTTCTGTCTTTTTCCCAGGCTGGTCATCAAGTTCCCCAGCGAATGGAATTATAAGACTGTGCCATTCCTGGTGAGGCAGGAGAGTAGGGCAGGGCAAAGTGACTGTCTATCACAGAGATCCCAGACACATGTGCCCAAGCCTTGCACCTAGGAGCAGTCAAGGAAGCCTAGCTTCAGTTCTTCTGGCAAGAAATCGAGCAGGTTTTTATTGGGTGGACCAAATCTGACGTCAGAATGGGGGGGGTGTATAAAAGATAGCTGCTATTAATCTTGTCATTATAGCACGCTTGCTCTCTCTCAGTGGCCTGCTGTGCACTCTGCAGAACATACTTCTTTTCCTACCTTTAGTAAATGGAAAACCTTCCTACCTTTTGCATGTGTCTTGAACAATGGTTTGTTCTGGACAACACAAACCTGGAAAAAAATCCCTGGAATGAGTCCACAGCATCCTAGAACCCTAATAACAGTGGCTCCCTAAAGGCAGAATATCAGAGATGAGGGGATCCTCAACAGTG